GAAAACATTAGAGATGAATCATAATGTACGTTATAGATTTGCCATATAAATCATGCATGTTCTACATTGAGAAAGACTGATTATAGTAATGTCCACACCACTACTAAGTCCAGTCTAAATATCAAAAGGGGTACAGAATATAAATCTCCTGGCATATGACTTGATGATAGACAAACATTTAAATATCATACAGATATCTTAGTAGACTGCAGCAGAAACCTGCCTTTTTATACAGAAATAAATGTAGCTTTCCTTTAAGCTGTAGAAAGAGCATTCTTGAAGCAGCTTTCCAGTTCTGGATTGTGGGGATTTTATATATCAACATGTTACTGCTTCTACCCTGAAGCCCCGAGAGTCCAATCCTCAGATTTATTACTAGAGATAACTGACACTCGGTGTTGGATTCTTTATGACATTGGTGGTGGGCCTTTCTTGTCTGACAGGGGTCAGAAACATTGTTACCTATTTACCCACACTGCCAAGTACTTAATATTCATGCTTGTCCAAATATAGGCACTTTGTCAATGTAGTGACATCGACCCTGCAGTCTGTTCTTGAAATCCAACTAGTATTTTGTATGGCAGTATAGAGGAAACAGAAAAATGTAACCTGGCTGGCTAAATGAGTGCAGAAATGCAGCCGACAGGTTTTTATACGTTGCACTTTCACTCTTGTGAAGAGTTCTCATTCCTGTTGTGTGCATGCTGAGCCAGAATGGGGTCAACACTTGTTAGCAACCAGCCAGGGGCTTCATACTGTACATGGCTGAATGGCCTCCCTCATTCCTCCTACTACCTCAAATTATTATGTCACCTGCCATTGTTTAGAAAAGCTGTGTGCATGTGTGAGGGAGAGGCAGAGACAGAGAGAGCTTATTTGTTCTCAGTGCTTTCAGGCCACGGAGTACTGACTGAGCAATACACCCAGCAAAATAAGCAGGGACACGTACTACATTCAGACTACATGCTGAAGGGACTCAAATCTAATTTGTTTTTTTTTGTTTTTTTTCCCCCTTGAATTGATCTGATATTTTCATGGATGTGTGGTCAAACCAAAGTTTATATATGTTTTCCAGATCAGATCTGGGCCACTTACATATGTGGTCCTAGTTTAGATTCATATCTGATCTCAGACCATGCAGTCGCTGTCAGAATGGTCAGATTGCAATTTGTGGTTTTATCAACATTTCATGCACACGTTACCTGTTGTTATCATTCAGTGTCAGCCCTTCATGGACCAGTTTAAAATACACATAAAGGAGAGCGGCAACAGCCACAGGGGTCAGTGGAGAGACGACGACATTTTACCTTTGTACAAACTTCTAATCAATCCAAACCAGAAGCAACATACTGTACCTTAACAGATGCATGTGCATGACGACTCACATTTCAGTTAAATCTGCGCATGTGTGGCAGCCTAGGAGCTCAGAACAGTTCAGATCGGAACTGTCCATTTACCAAATCATTTGTTATATATCTTCAGGCTGAGTCCTGAGTTCCATCAGAGCTGTGAAAACATTTTTATTTTACTGTCAGTGTAAGTCCAGTCCATTTATTCTGGGAAGACAGACATATTTTTCTGCCATGGCAAGTTTATTGTTCCAGTTTCAGGTTTGTTGTTTAAATTCCAAGTGTCAGAGTAGTGACAGTATTGTGTGTACTGCACAAACACAGCTTCTAATAGATGCCAGTGTTGCTCTGTCTGCTGGATGAGTAAAAGGTAACTTTTCTTCTTATCACAGAATATCTTATTTTGGCGTTTTAAAAAACTCAAGAAGAAGTACATCTGACAAAAATTATTTGAATTGTCCTGAGAGAGAGAAGGAAGATATCAAAAGAAGTCTGCACGATAAACCCAGTGACCTACAGATAGGACCAAACTGTGTATGTTCAGTGTAACCAAATAAAAGATGCTTTCATGTGTAAGAAGCTCAATTTAGCAGACATAGCAGGCTTCAGTTTTACTCCTAATTATTGACTCATATGTGCACAATCTACACACACACAGTAGAAGCCTGCTTTTCTTTAGAGCATCAAAGATGAGTGTAACAGACCCAGTGATGGAATCCAGAAACTCTTGTGTCAGGCAGCTGAAGACACACATACACACACACGAATAGAGTCGTGTGTGCACTTGCTTGCACACATGAACACACTGATAAGCTGGTGTTATGGTTTTCATTGGCCAGTGTCAGGCCTGTCATGTATATTCACTTTCCCATAATGCCTAGAAGCAGCGGTCAGTTTGGGAATGTGTAACTAAGACAAGGATACGGATGTTAAGTCACTGTTCCCTCAGCTAGATACATGTGGACACTTCTTTGAAATAATTTCTGTGTGTATAAAGCCTTTGCACATGAGTTGTATATTAGTATAAGTTTAAAAACTAAAGTGGTGAGTGTCTGTCAGGACTTGTCTTCCCGGTGCGTCGCACACCACTGGCACTAGGGAAACCCTGTAGCTGTGTGGGCGATAAGACAGGCTGATTTGGCACTGGGCACATTGGCTGAAGAGACCATTTAGATTGGCTGTTCAGATTAGCGAATCAATGCACAAGAAGAGAAGTTCGGGAAAGCCCCTTGAACCTGTCCATGATTTCACAGGTTTAGTGCAGTTTCTCCTTGTTTTTTTATTTCTCCTCCACAAACTCCTTCCTTCTTCCACAGCCAATGGACCAAGAGCAGAGAGCGCTAGTGTCAACTTCTTATCAGGCATATTCTTGATTAGAATCAGATATAAACAGCTGTGTTGAACAAGAGCTGCTTTGGTTACAGCTTGTAATTCCACTGTCTAGGTCTTATTCTATCCTTTCTAAATGGTGAATACACATACTGCCACCTGCTGGTAGGAGGAATTATTTCTGTCATACAGGCGCAGAATGTACGTACTAATCGGCTGTTGGCTGTAGTCTGTGCGTTGTGTTCAAGTGTCACTGTTTTAATCTGTCTGGCCCAGACAAAGACAACGTGAGGTGACACAGCAGTCAGCCTTGTCTGTGCTAATTATTTAACGTAGTGAGTGTTGTATGTACCGTAAGCATTAGGGTATCAGGGTGACCTGTTCTTCTCTCTATAGAGATCAGTGTGTTGATCATTAAAAATTCATAATTTAACCACAGATGGATTAGGAAAAAAATCATTCTGCATATATTTGTAGTTGTGTTGCTGTGTTCGTGGCCTGTTCTTTCTCTTTTTGGTCATTTTGTGTCTTTTTTAGTAGTTTTGTATCTCTTGGTATTTGCAGCACATACTCATTTGATTGATTTTAAAGTCTTTTCATGGTTCTGCAGTCTGGAACCCCTTGGGCCCCTGGGCCTGTGCACAGTAGGTCTCTTCAGTGATCCATCCATGACTTTAACCTTAAATTGTTCTTTTAACTTGCAGAGTTTGCCACTTACTTGACTCCTTATCACTTGACTCCTGTGCTGCCTCGGAATACTTTTTTCTTTTTTCCTCCCTTTTGAAAAATCTGGAGTCAGTTCTACTTTTAAGGCACGGCAACTTTTTAAGGAAGAAATAACAAATGCCCTTACTTAAAAATGAAGAGATATTCATAAACACAAACACAGCCTTCATCATTTCAGCAGACTCAGAGATGTTATTGCTGTAGCCTGAACAAACTAATCCAAATCAACAAATATATTTGTAATTTCCATTTGTATGAGAGAGACAGAACAAACTAATCCAAATCAACAAATATTTGTAATTTCCATTTATATGAGAGAGACGTGATAAAAGACAGGACACAGTCGGTCACAGAGCATAAACTGTCCTAATGCCTGCACATCTGAGTAGCTGGACATCGGTCTAACCAGCATCACTGTGTAAAAGTGTTATGAAGTCCACACACGGAGGTGGTGCAGTTTGTTGACAGTGAACCGAGCCAAGTCACTTACTGGAACCCTGGGCTGGGCTGTGGTTTGGAGCCCTATTGCCAGCCACCATCTGCCCTCCCTTTCTCTGTGGTTATTACTTCTGTTTATCTTTGAAACAAGGCGATATTATTTACCGTGTTTAAAATGTTGTCCTGCATTTCCACATGTACACAAGATGATGGGGTGTGTTAAGTAGGCTTTACGATATGATGTGAGGGGGCTCTTTCACATTTCCAGCCCATGAGTTTCCTTTCTGTTTTGATTAGTCATGTTGCTAATGTACTCTACCAATTTTTACCACCGCTGTGTTGGTATGGATAGAAAAAGACAATTTAACATCCAATAACTAACAAAAGGCATGGCGTGTTGTTGTGTTGTGTTTTTAACTGTGGCCATAATATGAGACTGAATATAAGTGAATGCTTGTTTATATCCATTTTTAACTTGGTAAACAAGAATGTTCTTCCCATGGGCGTCCATGTTTTAACCAGTCCCTATTATGTGACTGCTTAACACAGAGTCTTGCCGGATGATGTCACAGCACAGAAAAGGTTGAAACAAATCCAAATTTCTTGCCGCATGGGGTTGTCATTTTGCTAGAGGCCCTTCTGATACCCGCTCAACTCGACTCGAACTGACTCGCCTTATTTATGTTTCCATCAGTCAAATGTTGGAGATAGTAACTGGTATCTCACGCTATTTTTGATGTCCCCTCCATCGAGGTTTCAAGCAAGCAGAGACGATACAAAACTGTGGCATGTAAACACCGGAGACTAGTGATTGCTCAGAGAAATCACGCCATCAATGTGCGAGACGTCCTGGCACAAAGAAAGTGCCATTTTTAAAAGCAACGTTCTTTAACGCTAACCGCTACTTCACTGTAGTTACTGTACTAGCTTAAAACAGCCACATACCGAGAATCAAGAGCAGCATACTTTCGATGTCCTGTTATTGCGTTGGTTGCTGACGACGTACCACCCAGTACCAAAGGCGAGTTGAGTTGAGCCACATGAGACTTACTTGCACACAAGTATGATGTGACTTTATATCTTTAGCTCCACTAATAATTCTAAACCTGTAATGTCATAATTATTATATCACCGCTGACTTGGTGTATTTGTCTGCAGATCCCTCCTGTTGCAGCCATGCTGCCGAGTTCTCATCTTGTAAAGACGCTTGTGACCAGGTATGAACACAGACACACACACAGACAAGCCCATTGCTGTGCCCATTATAGTCGGCCCATGAATAGAGGTTTTTGAAGGGGAGTGGTGGAAAGTTTTTTGTCTCTTAGCTCTTTGAAGTACAGAATAAAAGTTTTGTCTCACCCGCTTTCATTTGGGAGCAGGTGATGCTCTCTCCCTCTCTCTCGGCCTGTCTCTCTCCCTCTCTCTCTCTCTCTCTCTCTCTCTCTCTCTCTCTCTCTCTCTCTCTCTCTCTCTCTCTCTCTCTCTCTCAGAAACACTTATGTCCTTCTTTATGGCAAAAGAACCGTAAAGGAGATGTGAAAGAAGCTTTTCTCTGCAAGCAGCTAACAGGCAGAGAGTTCAAACCTTGTTCCAGCTTTTGAAGTTGGGAGACACTGAAGAGGGAGGTTGGAGAGATTCACTGAAGATTCAATGAACTTGATTAACTTTATTAATCCCAGAGGGAAATTGTTTTAAAATGCTTAGATCAAACTTATAGTACTCTTATTGGTTGGTAAAACCAATTTGCTTGCCGAAGAAAGAACATAAACGGTCCAAGACATTAAAAGAAGATGAATAAAAAGTACTGGAGCATTGGGAGGGAAATCTCAAAAATAAGAAAAAAGTATGTAAAAAGAGAGAAAGGGAGGGTGATAAAGATGAAAAGATAGTGAAAGAAAAATAATGGCCTTTTAGAAGTGTAATGGCTTCAAAACACCCTTTAGAGGTCGTGGTGAAGGCCTTGAGTGGTGGGTGTGGTCTGGTGTCAGGGTGTAGTGGTGGATGGCAGGCGCATGTAATCACCAGGACCATTTTAGCTCTAATGGAAGCTGCCTTGTGTCTGGTTACACTCACAAAACTGCTTTTCAAAGATTCTGGTGGTCATTTACAGAACCATAAAGGCTCAGACCTTTTCTTTACTTCAATAAATTACTGAATCAGATAAAAGATTTTAATGTGACTCTAAAATCTTTAGTTACTACTGGTTTAATGCAGTAATAAAATTAGATTTGAATGTCACAAATTGGTTTTGCTTAGGAATGTGATGATGTATAGGGATCATACAGTACTATATATAATGTTTTAATATTTAAATTACCCTTTTTCACATGTGAAGTGTAAGTGACATATAAGATCAATTACATCCTCAACTACTGCATGTCTCAAGCCAAAAATTGTCCCACTAGAGTAATGCAAAGAGGAAAAACCTCTTTTTTTTTTTACTGTGGTCTTACTGCACACTGACTGATTCTTGTTTTATCTGCTAAGCAAAGCTCAGGTTCAGTATCCTTGTCATGAACTCCATCAGCTGACCATGTCTTTAAAGGGGAACACCACCTAATTCACATGCCAAAGGGCAGTACTACAGCATATGAGGAAAAAATGCTGTATAAGGTTTTTTGTATCTCTGAAGGGATCAGTGTGAGGTCTGACAAATGTCCCCAGGGTATGTCTGCTTTAGGCCTGAAACCCCAGGCTACATTAGCTCCTACTAGCATACCTCAATTCAGCTGAATTCTTAGCAGTCGAGTTGCATTATGGGTAATATAGGTGTCAGGTTTTGACAAAGAGGAAGCAAAAAAATGCTGTCTCTAGTTCTGCTGCTTTGATTTTTATGCATTTATCAAACTGTTCATCATATTTCTGTTATACTATAATACCCCATTGTAGTTTCTCTCTCTACTTTGTAGGTTTCACATAATAAATTGTACAAATGGGAATAGTGGTATGATTTCAGGCAGCATTTCCTCAAAGGCATTCATTCAAAGAATCAGTTGTACACGTGAGAAGTGACAAAATCAGTTGTGAGGAGAAAAGAGAGAGTGCTTGTTAGCATAGTTCAAATCTTCACACCATGTCTCCTGAGGCTGTGAATATTTTGATTGTCAATCACTAATTTGATCTGTACTGATGTGACTGACAAGACCTGGTCTTGTAAATGTCTGACAGAAGCAAAGGTGTGAATAGTGTGGCACTGGCATGATAACCTGGGCAAGAGGTGGGCTGGTAGACGGGTCAAAGCACATGTCGCTTTAACACTTAAAAACTGTTTTTTGTTTCCTATAGTACCAACGTGAAACTGTTTTGTTTTTTGTTGTTTGTTTTTTTTTAAAACGATGATTGTGTTTTCACACAACTAAGTAGGTATAACCCACACTACCCTGCCCACGTAGTTTTTGTGCCTAAATGAAGCCTAAACCATAGTAGTGCTAGATGTGGTAACAGTCACATTTATCATTTGAGTTGGTTTGGGACTTTTCCCATCAGTGTAGCTACGGGATCAGAGAACGAAAAATGTTATGTGGTTTCCATTTATGTCTGCATCTTACAGACAACGACAAACAATATATTCTGACACGTGTGGAAGTGTGATTTGCACTCAAGTCCTAAAAAAAACACAAAAAAGAAAAGACTATTTTGAAGATGCTTTTCTTTTTTTATTAACCACAGTCATGTTCTCCAACTTTTACAAACACTTCCAGATGTCTGTATTGCCAGTGGTTTTCTTATTTTCTTATACATATCAAATCTCTGCACTTACAGTATTTAAAATTTGGCCACAAATTGAACATAAAGACTGTAAATGTCTTAAATTTTGAGTCCTTTCTCTGTTTAATAATGCACTTAACAAACTACTTACACTTTTCAAATAACTTTGATTTTCTGCTCTCTTATGTGGGTTGATTTTATGGATTTTATTCTAGTTATTTCATTCAATGACTAAATGGCTACAGAGTAAAATGTTGTAACTATGAAGAATCCTCGTCAAAACTTTAAATAGGTCATGTGCTGTGAAGATCACTTGGCACATCCCAACTAAATATGATGAGAGTCACGAAGGAATCAGCTGTTTCTAACTTTTGTTGAAATGAAAACCTGACAACTCTCATGCCTTGGTGGCACATTATTTGAAGCTGCTGCTGGTCTGGACCATTTTTCTTAGCCGTGCAGTGTTTGATCAGTCTGCCATCCAGCACGCATTCACCTTTCATGCAGATGGACAGAGAGGCTCATAAATGGCCTGCTCGGCTGAGTCGGTCTTTTGTTGGATCAGTGCGATCTCTTCTTTGATTATGAGCCAAAAAAAATCACT